CTGTCTGTCTATCTATCTATCTATCTATCTATCTATCTATCTATCTATCTATCTATCTATCTGTCTGTCTGTCTGTCTGTCTGTCTGTCTGTCTGTCTATCTGTCTATCTATCATTCATTCATTCATTCATTCATTCATTCATTCATTCATTCATTCATTCATTTATTCATTCATTCATTCATTCATTCATTCATTCATTCATTCATTCACGTCTATGCCCTCTTTCTCCTGAGGGATCCGAGGCAGCTTATGGTATTGAAAGAACAAAGTTAAAAAGCCAAATTAAAAAAAAAAATACAATATTTAAAAAAGCATTAAAAGAATATCACATTTAAAACTCATAGGAACAATGGGGAAAAAGACACAAGTAAACACAGAATGAAATGCTCCCTTTAAAAAGAAAATCCCTTTTAAAAGGAAATAAAGAAAAAGTGAAAAAATGAAAATAAACACACCCCGCCACCCTTTGTCTCCTGCTGTCTTTTCTTCCTTCCGGGAGGAAGTTTTCAATTTAGTCCCCCCCCCTCGAAAAGACGTAATGCACCAGTCTACCCTACGAGGCTTTAAATAGCAACTTTTGCTTCCTTTCTCTCCCCCTCCACGGAGGAAGATTTCAATTTCCCTCTATTGTTAAGTGGCTTAATCTGTCTGCTTTGGTTCGATCCCAGTCATAAAAATGAAAATAAACACACCCCGCCACCCTTTGTCTCCTGCTGTCTTTTCTTCCTTCCGGGAGGAAGTTTTCAATTTAGTCCCCCCCCCTCGAAAAGACATAATGCACCAGTACTGTCCTACGAGGCTTTGAATAGCAACTTTTGCTTTCTCTCTCTCCCCCTCCATGGAGGAAGATTTCAATTTCCCACTATTCTTAAGTGGCTGTCTGCTTTGGTTCGATCCCAGTCACTGCATGTGCTGGAAGTGAACCAAAACAGGCAAGGATCAGGTATGAGTTGGTTCGTGATGACATGTAGATTATGTGATCCCTGGAAAAAGGAGTGAACCGACCCCCTCCTCAACCTGGATGAAACCACAGTTCAAACACCCATCTAGTCACACCCGGAGACCGAGAGAGCAAGACAGAAGGGCAAAGCAGTGAGAAAAGAAGGATATTTGGATTTCTGATGGGCCTCAGTATTTCCTCCCTCAAAGATCTAGTGGACCCGTTGTCCCCCTCTTACCGGAGCACTGTTGGAAAGAGTTCTCCTGTATATAAATAGACGCAGTTGAATGAGGCAGCCAAACAGCCCTTCCCGAAGACAGCAAAGGCAGTACGCATGGTTAGCATGTCTAGGTTGAGAGAAAATATCCACAATTAGAGAGATGTATTTCCCTCCCAGCAACACCAAAGGAGGTTCCAGTCAAGTGATAGGCCAAGAGTTCTCCATTATCTCAATCATCTCCTTCATCTCCTTATTGGGCAGAAGTGTTCTGTGGGGCTCTGAATAAATCATCACATTCTGGTTAAAATCCTGTTGCTTAGGGTAGTAAATGACACTAGGCTAGGCCCATTTCCTGCCAACCTATTTATTATTTATTTATTTATTGGACTTATATACCGCCCCATAGCGCTACAAGCACTCTCCGGGCGGTTTACAATTTTTAATTATACAGGCTACACATTGCCCCCCCAGCAAGCTGGGAGAGTTCTCCATTATCTCAATCATCTCCTTCATCTCCTTATTGGGCAGAAGTGTTCTGTGGGGCTCTGAATAAATCACCACATTCTGGTTAAAATCCTGTTGCTTAGGGTAGTAAATTACACTAGGCTAGGCCCATTTCTTGCCAAACTAGCAGTTCGAAAGCATGTAAAAATGCGAGTAGATAAATAGGTACAGTGGTGCCTTGCATAACGAGCGCACCATATAACGACGAATCTGCATAGCGATCCCTTTTCCGGGATCGCTAATGTGGAGGCATCGCGTTGGCCCCAATGGGCAAAACTCGCATAGCGAAGATCGGTAAGCGTTTCGCTTATCGATCTTCGCTTTGCGACGCCGCGGATCAGCTGTTCGGCGGTTCCAAAATGGCCACTCGAAGCCCCAAAATGGCCACGCGCAGCATTTTCGCGGCCTCCCCTCGCTTACCAAGGGCGCAGAAATGGCTGCCGGACCCAGGAAACTTCGCTAAACTGTGAGTTTTCAGCCGATTTGGAACTTTTGGCTTTTTACTTTCCGTTTAACAAAGTTTTCACATAGCGAAGGTTAATCTGGAATGGATTAACCTCGCTATGCGAGGCACCACTGTACCACCACAGTGGGAAGGTCACGGCGTTTCGTGTCTAGTCGCACTGGCCACGTGACCACGGAAACAATCTTCAGACAAATGCTCTGCAGGAATGAGCACCGCACCCTAGAGTCAGACACGACTGGACTAAACGCCAAGGGGAACCTTTACCTTTACCTTTAGGCCCAGTGGAACTTACAGAGAAGTTGACTTACCAAAACCCCATTGATACAGGGGGCCTACTATAGCGTGATTTCCTACCTAAAGATTTTGGCCTCTGGGTCATGGGATGAAACAGACCTGAATTATACTGAATAAATTGCAGCAGATCATAATTTTGGCCTGTCCAATTCAGAACGGCCTGTACCTCTGGCTGGAGATCCAGGCTTCCCCAGAAGATGAAACCTGATCTTTGTAGGCCCTATTCTTTGTATCGGCTCTACAACCTACTCTACCATTGACCTATGACCATTGCTCATTCTAGTCCTCATGATTCTGAAGAAAA